AAATCAAACATAAAAGGCCTTACTCCCCGGTCACATCAAAGCCGATTTAGAAATTGTGCGACGTACAGTGTAGATGCCGATTTCGTTACGATTTGCAAGAAATCGGATACAGATATCTATGCAAATCGTCACAAAAGTAGTACATGTACTACTTTAGAAATCAGTGTCGGAAATGCACCCATGTGACTGCTCTAATAGCCTGACAATAGGGTGCGACTTGGCATACAATTTGCAAGTTGCATGCCATGCAAATCACATGCCAAGTCACATCCAGGGTGCACGATTTCAGGTGCGATTTGGGAATTGAAATTGTATCTGATATCCGATCTAATGAATGTGGATGTGAGTGTCTTAACGTAATCGATTTGCTGCAGCACAATTTCAAAAGTAGTTCTTGTCTAACTTTTTCAGCATTTTGTAGCGATTTCACATATAGACTACAATAGAAACTGCAATGCAAAACACAATTGAAAATGCAATAACTCATTGGTAAATCTACAGAAAACACGGTGAAATTGCCAACAAAAAGCACAATTTTAAAATCACATCTAGTGTGAACCAAGCAGGCAATTCAACATAGGAAATAAATCTTTGAAGGCATGCGGTATCTGCATGCTCGGATAGGGGTCTGTTATGGATTTGGGGGGGGGGACTCCATGCCATTATTTTTTTTTTTTTTTTAATCCTTTTCTCTCTCTTGCTCACTCTTCTCTTGGTTTGACAAACTTTCTCAAAAGGAGGTGGAGTGCCCAAAAACTTTCCCAAAAGGAAATAATGTACAAAATCTACTTGCGCTCTTATGTTAAATAATCAATAAATAAGCACATATAGCTGCTAACATCTGATCCTGTACCAATGGATCCGATGAAATATATAAAAAATGAAACAAAAAATGATGTAGAGCTAAACAAGAAATAAATAAATGATCTATTAAAATGAATAAATCATACTAAGCACATGGTCAGTATAACAAAGTAACACTCTCCTTAACATGTGAAAGGAAACATTAGTGCGTAATGGAACTAGATAAGTGAGATCTAAAACACATGTGAAACCCCTGCACACAGTGCACATACAAAAAAGTCCAGTGATCCGTATCACATTCCTTCCGCTCATGCAAAATCAATGGACTGTGTATGATCCCACACACCTCGAAGTGCAATCCAAAAACCGGCTGAAATGGCCTCTCACCTCCTATCTGCGACCCTGCAGGGCCACAGAGCATATAATATCACCACTGGATCAAGATAACCTTCCTCTTGGGTAGATGACTTGAAGATATGTCCCCAGTACACTGATTCCACCTCTCCTATAATATCCTTAATGGTCAGATGAGCAGGATGGATCCCAACTCAGATCCCAATAGGATAGAAGAAGAAAGACATCCTCCATAGTGTAAAACCGCTTTAATTTTGCTTAAAACTGAATCAAATGCACACTTACATCAGCAAGATGAAAATACAGCTTGTTCCCATACCATGGATGTAAACATGTGGCTGAAGGGTGTTCCAAGAGGGCGCCGCGCTAAATGCAAGTAGCCTGTATTCATTTAGTGGTAGCGATGGGCTACAATAATATGGCCGCCGTGACCCCGCCCAGTGGGTCACTATTGGAGGAAATTCTGGCCTATTTAAGGAAGTGCAATAGACCAATCACGCTAGTCCTGAGGAAGTTACGAGGTCACGTGACGCAACGCGTCGACGGCAATACGTGGTGACGCACTTCCGGCGCGGCGCCATCTTGGAACACCCTTCAGCCACATGTTTACACCCATGGTATGGGAACAAGCTGTATTTTCATCTTGCTGATGTAAGTGTGCATTTGATTCAGTTTTAAGCAAAATTAAAGCGGTTTTACACTATGGAGGATGTCTTCTTCTTCTATCCTATTGGGATCTGAGTTGGGATCCATCCTGCTCATCTGACCATTAAGGATATTATAGGAGAGGTGGAATCAGTGTACTGGGGACATATCTTCAAGTCATCTACCCAAGAGGAAGGTTATCTTGATCCAGTGGTGATATTATATGCTCTGTGGCCCTGCAGGGTTGCAGATAGGAGGTGAGAGGCCATTTCAGCCGGTTTTGGATTGCACTTCGAGGTGTGTGGGATCATACACAGTCCATTGATTTTGCATGAGCGGAAGGAATGTGATACGGATCACTGGACTTTTTTATATGTGCACTGTGTGCAGGGGTTTCACATGTGTTTTAGATCTCACTTATCTAGTTCCATTACGCACTAATGTTTCCTTTCACATGTTAAGGAGTGTGTTACTTTGTTATACTGACCATGTGCTTAGTATGATTTATTCATTTTAATAGATCATTTATTTATTTCTTGTTTAGCGCTACATCATTTTTTGTTTCATTTTTTATATTTCCCAAAAGGAGGTGTTTGAACAGACAAGGCCTCATTCTAATTCACGTTCTAGGGATCATTTAGACAGAAAGCAAAGATGCTGCCACCAGCACATGTATGTTAGAGTAGTCACACAGAGATCATGCAAATTCATTGCCGGGGTTGGGATTCAAACCAACAGCCCTAGCATTGTGAGGCAGCAGTGCTAAACACTAATCCACGGAGCTGTTGAACACTAATCCAACCTGTATTTCTGTGGTGTGAATCCAACCTAAGTCCCTGGGCAAGGTCAGTGTAACTAGCCAGGTATCTCCAATGTGACACAAATGTTGTGCTATGTTTCCAGTTCAGATGTATGCTGGTTCTATGTATCCCAATACAAAGGATTGCAATACTAATACAGGCGTACCTCGGTTTACCCAACACCTTGGTTAACGGAATTTTCGGTTTACGAATGAAAATCCATTGAAAATAAAGCCTCGGTTTACACAATTGTTGATAATTTTTTATCAGCCCCCCGCCCCAAAGCACCCCCCATGTTGAGGGCATGTTGCCTGGTATGGTTCAGGAGGGGGGGGGTGCTCGCTCGTCCCCCCCCCCCCCCCTTTCCTGACCTGCCAGGCTGCATGCTCGGATAAGGTTCTGGTATGGATTTTGGGGGGGACTCCACTCTGTTTTTTTTTTTTTTTAAATTTCAGCATGGGGTTACCCCTTAATATCCATACCAGACCCGAAGGGCTTGGTATGGATGGGAGGGGGGACCCCATGCTGTTTTTTTTTTTTTTTTATTGCAGACCTTTTATTTTTACATTAAGCTGTCAAAATAAATATTATCTAGACCTTCGAAATAAGTAAAATCATTACAGAAATAATTATAAAGGATAAGAAACAAAAATAGAATCACTAGAACTAAGGAAATCAAATTAGAATACATAAAGATATGCCAAGTGCTGTTTGTTAAACACAGTAGAAGCGACCAAGTGCCGGTTGTCAGAGGAATCCACACAGAGATTTTACTATTGAGCAGTGGCTAAAAAGCAAGCGCCCACAGAGGACGTCTAAAATGTGTTCTGCACATGCGCATTTATATCAGCCAAAGACACTTTCACTGTGTCAACTTGCTTAAAAAAAAAAAACTTTTTTAACACATTTTAATTTTTTTTTTTTTAAATGGCAGATATTGTTTAAAGTGAAGTCCTGATATTTGGCAAAGCAAATTTCAAAGTGAACATGTTTCTGCAGCGATTTTTCATGGTGTTAGACGTGCCTCTTAGCAAGTCTGCTTTTTGAGTCTGATTCCTGGTCTGTGTCTCGTTAGTAAATTCGATTGGGCGTCTAGTTGTTGACACTTCTCTTTAGTAAATCTCTTAGCAGGGTAAAAGTAGACGGTCGCTAGTAAAAATTAGACGTTCGCCCACGGAAATGTGCCTAGGCACAATAGTAAATCAGGTTCATAGTAACTACATTTGTGGTCAACATAAATTAAAAGTTTACTGCAATCTACAATAATGTCAGTTTTCTTTGGGATTAAAAGATGCTCATTGTCATTCAGCTCATTTCCTGGTGTGCAGGGTTTTATAGACCTACCCCCTGTGAGGGCACCACAGCACCCAGCATTTACAGTATAATGATGTAGAGCAGGGGTGTCAAACTCAATTTCACTGTGGACTGTATTAGCATTCTGTTTGCCCTCAAAAAGCCAGTTGTATTTGGAAGACTATATAAATGTATCTGCTCTTTATCATATTAAATAATTGCCTCTGCATTTAATTATTGGTTTTAGTAATAACTTTAGTTCTACCATGGTGTTCTGTCTGAGCAGTCTCCAATAGTTTCTTGTGGATGATACCAGCGGTGTGCGACCCTCCTTTTCAACTGGCACAGCATTGTATTGTTATCATATTAATTATAAGCAGATGTACAGATTACCCCACCCTCCATTACATCATATGTTAAGAGCCCATCCACCATCAGAAGTCAAAAGTCCCCCACCTTCCCTTACATCACAGTGTACCACCCTTACCTTGCTACTGGGAAGAAGCTAAGAGAGTAGCATGAATGAGCAATTGCCAGTTAAAGTAGCATAGTGGAATAGGAAACAATGCCCTGGTAATGAAAGGGTTAAAACCTTCTGAAGTTCAGGTGGTTAATCACGATCAATCACTCCTTGATGGTCTGCCCCTATTATAAACTTAGAATGACATCCATTCCTTAATTGCTTTAAAGAGGTTAAAGAATATTTTAAACCAACATTTCATTTCATACGTGCCAGCTGTACCACATTCTCTTGTTAAAACATATCCTGTTCTCTTTGTATTGTTTCCTCTGGTGTTCCTGCCAGTCCCATTTCTGTCCTATTAAAACTGACCACACTAGGCATGAGAGCACAGTGTGGTCAGTGTTCTGGCTGTGCTGAAATTCACTGGAAAGTTTTTCCCTCCCCTTCCTCCTTATGCAGCTGACAACAGAGGATATGTGATCACTGATAAAAAAAGGGTAAAATATATACACTATATTGACAAAAGTATTTGGACACCCCTCCAAATCATTGAATTCGGGTGTTCCAATCATCCATGGCCACAGGTGTATAAAATCAAGCACCTAGGCATGCAGACTGCTTCTACAAACAATTGTAAAAGAATGGGTCACTCTCAGGAGCTCAGTGAATTCAAGCGTGGTATTGTGATAGGTTTCCACCTGTGCAATAAGTCCATCCATGAAATTTCCTTGCTACTAAATACTCCACAGGCAACTGTTAGTGGTATTATAGCAAAGTGGGAACAACAGCAACTCAGCGACGAAGTAAAAGGCCGTGAAAAATGACAGAGTTAGGTCAGTGCAAACTTCGTGTGGCCTTCAGAATAGCACAAAAGTGCATAGAGTGCTTCATGGAATAGGTTTCCAAGGGCTAGCAGCTGCATCCAAGCCTTACATCACCAAGTGCAATGCAAAGCTTTGGATGCAGTGGTGTAAAGTACACCGCCACTGGACTCGAGCAGTGGAGATGTGTTCTCTGGAGTGATGAATCACGCTTCTCTGTCTGGCAATGTGATGGATGTGTCTGGTTTTGGCATTGTGCCAATTGTAAAGTTTGGTGGAGGATAGATTACGGTGTGGGGTTGCCCTTCAGGGGTTGGCCCCTTAGTTCCAGTGAAGGGAACTCTTAAGGCATCAGCATACCAAAACATTTTGGACAATTTAATGCTCCCAACTTTATGGGAAAAAGTTTGGGGATGTTCCTTTCCTATTCCAACATGACTGCCCTCCAGTGCACAAAGCAAGGTCCATAAAGACATGGATGAGCGAGTTTGGGGTTGGGGAACTTGATTGGCGTGCACAGAGTTCTGACCACAACCCGATAGAACACCTTTGGGATGAATTAGAGCGAAGACTGTGAGACCTTCTTGTCCAACATCAGGGCCTGACCTCACAAATGCGCTTCTGGAAGAATGGTCAAACATTCCCATAGACACACTCCTAAACCTTGTGGACAGCCTTCCCAGAAGAGTTGAAGCTGTTATAGCTACAAAGGGTGGGCCAACTCAATATTGAACCCTATGGACTAAGACTGGGATAAACGTTAATGTGCATGTAAAGGCAGGAGTCCCAACACATACTGTGTGTGTGTGTGTGTGTGTGTGTGTGTGTGTGTATATATATATATATATATATATATATATATATATATATAAAATTTAAAGATTGTGTGAAGCATTATAATAATTTTAATGTATATTGTCTTAACAAATAATCATTTTTCTTTTTGAAGGTTACAAAGTTACATAGTTACATAGTTAGTCTGGCTGAAAAAAAAAGACAAACGTCCATCCATTTCAACCATAAAAAAAAAAGTTATAATCCTATACCCACAGTTGATCCAGAGGAAGGCAAAAGAAACTCAGCAAAGCATGATCCAATTTGCTCCTGTTGGGAAAAAAATTCCTTCCTGATCCCCAGAGAGGCAATCGGATATTCCCTAGACCAACTTTACCTATAAATGTTAGTATCCAGTTATATTCTGTGTATCCAAGAAACAATCCAGGCCTTTTTTGAAGCAATCCACTGAGCTGGCCAGAACCACTCTTGAGGGACTCTAGTCCACATTTTCACAGCTCTCACTGTGAAGAAACCTTTCTGTGTTTGGAGATTACATTTCTTTTCTGCCAGATGTAAAGAATGCCCCCTTGTCCTCTGTGATGACCTCAGGGTGAATAGCTCTACACCGAGATCAGTATATGAACCACTGATGTATTTTTACATGTTGATCATATCCCCCTTAATCTCCTCTTCTCAAGAGAGAATAAATTCAGTTCCTCTAATCTTTCCTCATAGCTGAGCTCCTCCATGCCTCTTATCAGTTTGGTTGCCCTTCTCTTTACTTTCTCCAGTTCCCCAATGTTCTTTTTGTGAATTGGTGCCCAAAACTGAACTGCATATCCCAGATGAGGTATTACTAATGATTTGTACAGAGGTATTATGATCTCCCTCTCTGGAGTCTATACCCCTTTTAATACAAGAGAGGATTTTGCTCGCTTTAAAAACCGCAGCTTGGCATTGCATGCCATTTTTAAGCTTCTGATTTACCAGAACTCCCAGATCCTTCTCCACCATTGATTCCCCCAGTTGTACCCCCCTAGTATGTATGATGCATGCATATTCTTAGCCCCTAAGTGCATAACCTTACATTTATCAACATGGCGGAGAAGGATCTGGAAGTTCAGGTAGATCACAAGATTAATAATGGCATTCAATGCCATTAAAAGAGGTATAGACTCCAGAGAGAGATATATCATTTTACCCCTGTACAACTCATTAGTAAAACCTCATCTGGAATATGCAGTTCAATTTTGGGCACCAGTTCACAAAAAGAACATTGGGATCTGCAGAAAGTACAGAGAAGGGCAACCAAACTGATATGAGTCATGGAGGAGCTTATCTATGAGGAAAGATTAGAGGAACTGAATTTATTCTCTCTTGAGAAGAGGAGATTAAGGGGGGATATGATCAACATGTATAAATACATCAATGGTTCATATAGTGAACTCAGCCTAGAGTTATTCACCCTGAGGTCATCAAAGAGAACAAGGGGGCACTCTTTACTTCTGGAGGAAAATACATTTATTCTCCAAACACGGAAAGGTTTCTTCACAATGAGAGCTGTGAAAATGTTGAATAGACTCCCTCAAGAGTAGTTCTGGACAGCTCAGTGGATTGGTTTAAAAAAGGCCTTCTTGGATACACAGAATATAACTGGTTACTATTTTTAGGTAAAGTTGCTCCACGTAATATCCAATTGCCTCTCGGGGGGTCAGGAAGGAATTCTTTCCCCTGCAGGAGCAAATTGGATCATGCATTGCTGTTTTTTTTGCCTGACTCTGGATCTGACTCTAACTCTGGATCAACTGTGGGTGTAGGAGTATAACTTTTTTTTTTTTTTAATGGTTGAACTGGATGGACTTTTTTCAGCCAGATTATGTAATTATGTAATTATATACCGCCATTTGAAACGCTATAACTTTTTACTTTTACTCTACTGTTTAAAAGCAAAAATTTAGTTTTTTTTCTCCTAATTATCGGGTTTTTTGTTTATAGCACAAAAAATAAAAACTGCGCAGCCTATCAAATACCACCAAAAAAAAGCTCTATTTGTGGTAAAAAAAAAAAGGACATAAATTTCATTTGGGTGCAGCATTGCATAACCGAACACATTTTCAGTCAAAGCAATGCAGAACCGTAATGCAAAAAAATGGCCTTTTCAGGAAGGGGGTAAATTCTCTTGAGGGCAAGTGGTTTAAAAGGGCTGAATGTTTTTCTAGATGCTCAAAATATAAACAGCTTCTAAATGTGTAAGAAATAATATTGCAAAAAGCTGATCTCTTTTGGCATTAAGGGACATACAGTAGGGAAAATTAATTATTTGATCCCCTGCAGATTTTGTAAGTTTGCCCACTTACAAATAAATGAAGAGTCTATAATTTTTATCATAGGTGTATTTTAAATGACAAAGACAGAATATCAACCAAACATCCTGATACAAATCCTGAAACACATGATGCAAATGTTATAAACTTGAGTTGCAGTTCAGTTGGTAAAATAAGTATTTGATCCCCAAGCAAAACATGACTTAGTACGTACTGGAGAAACCCTTGTTGTCAAGCACAGAGGTAAGATGTTTCTTGTAGTTGGTTACCAGGTTTACTTATATCTCAGGAGAGATTGTGGTCCACTCTTCTTTACAGATCTTCTCTAAATTCTTCAGGTTTCTTGGCTGTTGCTTGGCAACTTGAAGTTTTATCTCCCTCTATAAATTTTCTATAGGATTAAGGTATAGAAACTGGCTAGGCCACTCCATGACCTTAATGTGCTTCTTCTTGAGCCACTCCTTTGTTGCCTTGGCGATATGTTTTGGGTCATTGTCATGCTGCAATACCCATCCAGGACCCATCTTCAGTGTTCTGGCTGAGGGAAGAAGGTTCTTCCAAGATTTTATAATACATGGCCTCATCCATTGGCCCCTCAATGTGGCAAAGTCAACCTGGACAATTAGCAGAGAAACAGCTCCAAAGCATAATATTTCCACCTCTGTGCTTGACTTTAGGGATGGTGTTCTTAGGGTCATAGTCAGCATTTTTCTTCCTCCAAACACAGCGAGTAGAGTTAATGCCAAAGAGCTTGGTTTTGGTCTTATCTGACCACAGCACTTTCTCCCAATCTCATTCTCTGAATCATTTAGATGTTTATTTACACACTTCAGACAGTCCTGTACATGTGCCTTCTTGAGGAAGGGGAGCTGGCGGGTGCTGCAGGATTTCAATCCACAGTGGCGTATTGTGTTACCAATGGTTTGTTTGGTGACTGTGGTCCCAACTGCCTTGGGATCATTCACCAGCTCCTCATATGTGGTTCTTGGCTGATCCTTCACTTTTCTCATGATCATCCTTACCCCATGAAGCGAAATCTTGCATGGAGTTTCAGACTGAGGGCGATTGATGGTTATTTTGTATTTTTTCCATTTGCAAATAATCACTCCAACAGTTGTCTCCTTCTCACCAAGCTCCTTGCTGATGGTCTTGTAGCCCATTCCAGCCTTGTGCAGATGTACAATATTGTCCCTGACATCCTTTGACAGCTCTTTGGTCTTTCCCATGATGGTGATGAGGTTTGAATGGAAGAGAGATTCTGTGGACCGGTATTTTTTATACACATAAGGATTTAGTGGCACCTTCTTAAATTGACAGGACTAATTTGTGTACCACATGAGCACATAGCCAGTCTGTGGGAGCCAGAATAAGACCCCGGTCACCATGCCATGCGACTTGGAAATCACATGCAAAGTCGCACTATATTGTCCGCAGTTACAGCTGCCATATCATTGCGGTTCCATCTTGGTCGGAGCTGCACCGATTTCTAAAGTAGTACATGCACTACTTTTAGCGCTATTTGCATAGATATCTGAGTCAGACGTATTGAAAATTGCACCTAAAATTGGCATGTCCCACCAACTTTGAAATCGCGTGACTTCACTGTTGGGCTTGATGTGACCGGAGTGTTATTGTTGGTTGGTAGGAGATCAAATACTTAGTCTACTCATTGAACTGCAATTCAATGTATAACATTTGTATCATGTGCTCTGCTTGAGGTTCTAAATATGTGAGATTTTATTATTTTTTTTGGCTGACCTTGATGGTCTTTTCAACCTATATCATTATTTAGAAATGTAATTGTCCATTATGATACAAAGACTTTCATTGGAAACAAAATTTGTGTAATGAAACATACTGTGTACACATGTGTACTCCTATCACAGACAGTTAGTTTTTAAATAGTTTCTAAGTTTTCTAAACTTTATGTTTATCTACAGGTATAGGTTCTGCATTAGATAATCACAATCAGTGAATACAATCTAAATGTAAGTTACAAGTTATTTAAAATACAATAGTGAAATGCTTGCACGCAATACATACACATATGCAGGCTTCATACTAAAAATGTAACCGTGCCAAAAATGTTGTGATGTGAAATAAAATCTTCCTTTTAATGGGGTTCATGCAGTAAAACTGCATTATAAATAAGAAGATGGTTCAATGCTGCTATTGTCTTCAAGTGTTATAACATTAAGAGTAATTATAGACATCTGTCACAACTAGCTACAGAGTGGTACTCTGACACTGATTTATAAATAATAAAAAAAAAAAGCTGCCTTGAGGCACTGAAATGGACACCAGACAAAAATGAACAATTATT